AACAAAAACTTTTAGACAAATAACTCCAGGCGTATAAACAACACACTGCTAAAAAAATGGCAGATGCTTATACAAAAATACACCTAAAACACCACAACAGGCCAAACTAGTAAACTTGCGTCCCTGCTCAGTGATACTAGAGCAGACTGCTTTGAATTAATGTGCCTGTGTTTTATCTCCAGTTGGAGGATTAAGCAGGTCATTACTAAAACTGAGGCCCACTCAGGGATTAAGCAAACTCTTAATCAAAGGGACGGGAGACAAGAGAAACATTTATGCATCATTTTAGAGGCAGGCCATGCTAGCTGTTTGTCTTGCAACATCATTGCTAAGAAAAAAATAATACTATATTAGGATTTACTGCACAAAGTCTACGAGTGATGCAACAAGAATCTGGTCTGTATAAAGTCTGGCTGTTTCGGAGAAGTGTTCTAGATTTCAGTTATATTGCATATGCACAGGCTGATCAACAAGCTAAGATAGACAAATAATACATTCACTTTAAAGGTAAACATTACATTTCCAAATCCGATATACTGAAGTATATGCGTGTGTTTGTATGTTGATCCTGACAGATTTAACTGGTTTCTATGTCTTTTCATATTACTGAAGTAAACATGAATCATGCAGGTGTGTCCTGTTCAGTGAATAAAACGCTGTAAGAATTTTAAACAATATTCTTCTCATCTTTTTCTTCTTGTTGGGTTAAGATTAAGCTCATAGGAAAACCAGACTTAAAACATGTTGCAATCCAGAGTCTCTGCTTTTCTTGGACTTGGACTGTGCTGCAGTGAATAGCTCCTCTTTCTTTTCTTTGTGCTTGATATCAACAAATAATTTAAAATCTGCTTAATTACATGGCTAAATCTAGACTAAATCCCAACATTAGGATTACTGAATGTAATATACGTACAAATTTGACGATAAACACAATTACTTTTTACACTGTTATCTTTATACATGTTAACCAAAAAGAAAAAAACTGCATGTTCACTTTGGTGACTTTAATTACTGTACATGGAGGTTTCAAAATAAACATTATTAAAATACAAATAACACAAAGACCATGGGACGTAATGGCCTCTCACATAATGATAATAATAATACTGTTGTATTGGAGTGTGTGTTGTGCAGACAGAAAATCACCACAGTTCTGCTGTACAAGCTAATGCAGCCAGAGTTTGTTCAGAGCCCAGTCTTTCCTTATGCAATCAAAAATTAATCAATGTTGACAAGAGGAGGAATGCAGAGCTTGGGGGACTCGTTACAGCTATGCTTAGTTATTCTATCATACAAATAAGACCAGGCCACTTTCACAGTGGATATGTAGAGGATTTAATTTGTCTATGTAATGAAGTCTAGCACAAATCTGCCTGCATAAGAGGTTAGGCTGCATATATAGAGCGTGCATGAGCACATTTTCTGCACAAAAATTACATCTAAAGAATAAGCTTTCCTCTGCTGGAGCTTGTTGTAACCGTAAAGAAACCATTGCGTTTCCCTGCTTCTTGACAGTGAGGACTTTATAGGCACTGACCTCTACTCCATTCACAAAGAAAAGGCCAACTGGCTGGACATCCTCTCAACGTCACCACCGAGTCTTGACACAGCTGGCTCTTCTGCAGCTTCCTCAGCACCTGTACATGAGAGGAGAAGGTGGATTTAAAATTTATAGGGTGTGTGACAGTCAATAAACATGCAATCCAATCTGTATTATTGCAAGACATGCTAGAGCATGTATTTGTGGGTATGTAAAAAAGCCTGACTGATATTTACTTGAGATTTTGTACTGATCTGAATTTTACATTATTTAATATCAACTCTTCAGTGATCTCTGCAGGAAAAAGTATGAAATGTAGGTGGTGTTTAAGTACCTTGAACCTAATCTGGCACAGGCACAATTTCTTGGTACTTAATAAGTGCTTATAGCTATTCAAAATCACATGGAGGGGAAGAAAGGTTAGTTTGGGTTTTCTTAGCTTGCACTGAGTGCAAGTAAGGGAAAAATACTGGACCCTGGAGCTGATCACAGGCTCAGTTCAGTCAAGTCAGATCTTCAGATGTCAGGGACTGTGACAGCCATAGTCACAGTTGTTGATCAGCTTGTAATCACACAGAAGAATTAAATTCTCCCTTCTCCGTTCATCTCAGCTTTACCGGACTCTGCTCACATGAAATCCTTCGACACGTCAAATGTTTCTAGATGCAAATTATGACTGATTGCTGCTGCACACTAAGCAGCTTTTCAATACAAACATTTTTTTGGAGCGAAACAAAGTCCACTGTAGTCATTTTTTTCATTGTGCTAATTAGAACGTTAAATCAATGCTCCATAGACGGTTGACACTGATGCACTATAAATTTAGATGAGGAAACAAATTCATATTTGTAATTGCAGCCATGATGAATTCATAGGCTTTCCGACAGCAGGGTCATTAATGTACAACCAATCTATCAGCGCAAATATGCAGAGTGACATGGATACTTTACTCCACAATTAATCTCACCAATGTATTTCTCGCCCCTTTTGAAACAGGCAATTAAATTAAAAAGGGTGCTAAATGGCCATATCAAGGAGAGAATATTGATCTTCTCATGAAATGTGCTTATTGACGAAACACTTAAATTAGATCTTGTTGAAATGAAACCATAAATGAAATGAAATCACTGTATGTTTCACTGCAGTTGAAGGTGAACAGATGAAAACGACAGTTAAAATATCACATTATAATGCAGTCAAATTAGAGAAAAGTATGATGTATGAATCAAAGCTCGTTTGTGTGTTTGTAAGCAAGACTCCATAATAAACAACTGGATGAATTTCCATGAAACTTGATGATGAGGCATGACTCAGAGAAAAAAGACAATTTTGATGCAAATCTGCTCCATACTTTTATTATTGTGAGATGGGGCGTTTTTCAACATTTTCACCAACCTCCCAGGGAATAATTTATAGATCTTGATGATAAAAATCTGACATATTTAGGAGACTGATAAATGAATGTGTTCAATAAAGTGCGGCTTGATGGAATTTAAAGGGGGCTGTTGGACCTTAGTGGAGGTATGCGCTCTACTGAGTGCCATTCTAGCTGCCACTGTAAGTAATCCCAAAATAACATCAGAAATAGCGTTGAATCACATACATGTTATTTGCTGTCTTTCTTCTTCAGGGTCTTCTCTTTCAACTACAAGCGAATGATGGATTGGCAGGATTTACCAGTAAAATATCAGCATGCTGTTGCCGAGCTGAACCAAAACTCGTTCATTAATATACATCAGCTTGTCTGCTTCAAATAAGTGACTGCATGAGAAGCAGAGACCTGCTTTCCAGCCTTTCTGTCTGTTAGCAGATTTACTGCACCCCAGCCTTGGCTAGAGAAGCAAAATTCCTAAAATGAATCTAAAATGAATAAAAGTAATTTATGTTCAAAATCTGTAACCTGAAATTCAATTTTATGTAAATATTTGAGACATAATGAAGGTCTGATGACACAAAGGGAGGATGGTGAGTGTATTTGTGTGCAGCCTGCCTTCATCCGAAAGATGGCACATGTTGTACCCAGCCTGTGTGAAAAGGAAGTTGAAATGTCAGCAGTCTTAATCAATATTCCTTGGCTACTGTATTGGTGTACTGATGCTTTTTGAGGCAGGTGTGCTGCAGGCAGATGGTGAGAAGTAGAAAATGAGAGCAAATGTCACCCTAGCTCATTCTTTCTGCAACCACTCCTGCACCATCCAGGCATCCAGTAGAAACATTGCATTCTGGGTATCCTCCCTCTGAACATCTCGATGTAACCTTTAATTGCATAAAGAAACATCTGATGGCTAACCTCCATCAACAGCTATTTGCATATGTATGGGGATAAACTAAAAAAACAATAGACAGTGTATTTCGGTCAAGATGCTCTCAGCAACCAAAGCCTGCTCAAACATAGTCAAACTACAAGACTTCCAGCCCCAAAATACTGTCCCTCGCCTACAGACTATTCATATTCAAATGCAGAATTCTTTTAACACAGATTAACTGTCCAATAACCACTGAGAAGTCAAAGCGGCTGAATTTTCATTTCTCAAGTTTAACCAGGGCAAAGTATGAGTCATAATAAAATCTCTTAAGGATGCATAATCAAGGGTAAGGAAAGCCAAGCAGCACTCTAGCTCCTCTTCAAGGTGGCTTAGCATGTAGCTCTGTAAGCTTAGCACTGCACTGACACCATTTTCATAGCCTTTACACAGTGTCCTATTCAGTCGACCTTTCTTAAGCAATGGACGAACACCATGAATATGAATCATGGACATCAACTTTATAGCACTCTCCCGTGAATACATTTTGAACATTAGGCTGAGGATAGTTCTTTTACAGCTGCTTGACTGGGAATGATATTAGGTCATTAATTATTTCAGTCGCTCCTCATTTGCAACCATTCTGACAAAGGCAGTCATCTATCAGGACTTGAACTCAGGGTAAAAAAAGAGAGAGGGGGGCCCATCTGTTGGGCATTCTATATATTTTCTCAAGGGAATCAATGGCTGGCCAAACATTGAATGATCGCACTACTGATGCCACCATGGTGCCAGCTATCACTGACCATCTGATGCCCACAGCGACATCCAAGAAGTCTGAATCTGCAGAATGAGGAGCTCAATTAATAGAGTTATGGGGGAGTTAGAGCAAACTGATTAAATCTGCTAACTTATCATACAAAAATACAACAACTATGCCTTTATCCACACACAACACACAAGCATACACACCCAAGTCAGAAAAATCACAGATCACATTCTCAGAAGACTTTTTTATGGAATTCAGGGATTTCAAGAATAAAGTCGTAAATTTAGAAATAATCCTGGATTTAATGACAAAGAAGTCACATTTCCATATCAAGGAAACTTTTTTAAGCAGGAAGAACCCGTGCATGGCAGAGTTTCACTCCATCCTAGATCATGCATACCAATCCGATTGAAGTAACTGTAACTCCAGCTCATAGCCAGCTCAATGTCAGAAGCAATGACATGGAAACTATTTTCAACAACCTTTTATTATGGACTGCACTGAAATAATATAATGCTTCTTCATTAATACTGGTCAAATCAAAGAAATTACCCTAAAAACGGTTCACAGTGCTGTGGTCTGGCAAGCGATGCAGATTCGCTGCCGTACGGCAGACTTCGAAACTGTCTCTTTCCTCATTACTGAATGAATCCCCTACACTCCACCATGAAAACATTACTTCATTATTTTTATTCATTATTCTTTATGAACCTCTCAATGTTATTATTTCACCAGAGTTTAATTAATGAGCCACAAACCTGAGGGCCCAAGCTCTTCACCAATGCTAGGCATATTCTTCCACTCCACTGGCCCCATGCCAACGTCTCCCAACTCTCAAAACATTAGGGCAATTTTCACACTGGATTTAGCGAACAAAGAGGGTTTCAGTGTGCCGGCATCACATGTCGAGAGATGTGTTGTGGCTGTCACAAGTGTTCAGGGATGCAGACGGTAAATTCTGATGTTATTTAGTGGTGCTTTGCATACATTTAAGGGCTTTGTCGCTCCTTTTGGTGCCTGTGAAGAAATGCAGCTCTGTTGAAGCGACTTACACCCATATCATGTGCAACTGTTCACTCACAGTTTGGTCTCTTGTTTCCAATAAAGAATCAAATGTTCATAAACAGACATACATCTACACTGAGGTGTTTCCCAAAGAATTACATCATACTGTTGGCAGAAGCTAACCGGCCTGCACAGCATGTGTGATTGTCATGGACCCCTCTCATGATCAAGAATGTGCCATTGTCAATGCACCTTCTTGTGATTGTAGAATAAACAGGTATAGAAGAGGTAGAGCGACCAAAGAGAGCGACCAAAGAGACTAGTTAATCGATCACAGATGGTGCCATTATCAGACAAATATTGAATAAAAGCAACAAAAAAAAGCTCAAACTAGGTCTATACCCGAGTGGTCTGCCGAGTCTACAATGGTAAACACTGCTTTATAAACTGCATCTTTCGTTAGTTATACTTAAAATAAACAAACACTCTAAGCCACTTTTTGCATTCAGTCATTAGATCATGGTAATATCAGCGTTGGAGTGACACAGTTTAAGGCTGAGGCAACAAGAACAAACAGGCTCTGGAGAGGCAGATGGAGTCGGTGCACAAATGCAGTACAAAGCAGAGAAAGTTGAAAACTGAAGCGTGTCTGAGAGCCACTCCTGCTTTGCACTCCAGCTCCACACTGAAGAAAACAGGATGAGAGGATGAAACTTGGAGTGGGAGGCAGCAAAGGCAAGCTTGCAAGAGGAAGCCAAGATGAAAGTAAATAAGAGTTTGAAAGTTTTTGGAAGCTGAGTAAATTCCCTTGGTGCCTGTCAGGCCTCTGTGGTGCTCTCTGTAATGAACTCTGCTTTCATGCTTGTCGGCAAAAGCTGGCAATGAAAAGAATATACCATTAGATTCCAGCAATAAGCCACAGAGTAAGCACACACACAACAGCAATAAAGCTGGTATGGCATTATTCATTATCTCATGAAGTAGGTTTCAAAAAAGAGCTGAATTTGTGAAGTTCCAGACACCAAAGTATCTTTCTACATAAGACTTCACCACTTTGGCTAACCTCGAGGTGACGATCAT